GTTGTGTTCTTGGTCTGTGGCTATTTTAAAATTTTCTAAACTTTTGTGTTAAAAAAAACTGGTATTGTTTTTAATTTGAGGATTGGCTCTGATTTTGAGTTATAATGTATTTCAAAAATTCTTATGATGATTTTCGATCTCTCCTTATTTTCTTTGCTTATTGCTTCTTTTATATTGAAGTCTGGTTATGGATTAGAGTTGTTGCAAACTGATATGGGTGTTCTTGCTATTTGAATGATACAAATGGAAACAAATCGTGTAACTTTCTTGAAGTATAAAACTTGTGTGATCAAAATAGTGTAAGGTTCTGCAATGTTTGAAAAACTGATATTTTGCTATTTACTTTTTAGATTCTTCATGTACTCTGCAACACCACCGATATGTGACTGCTTAGCCCTCCATCTCCTCGTCAGTGGGAACCCCATTGGGGAATGCCGCACCCTCATGTTAGAGATGGTGGGGGAAATACTCGTATATCCAACACTAATATTAGAACACGTACACAACAAATAATAGTTAATAAATGTTATTCGTAAAACTTAAATAAGAACTCAACAACAAATAATAATTTCAAGTATACCTGTAATAAACTCAAATAACCAGCAAGCTGCCTAGTCTCAAATACACTTGCCACTTTGAGTGTTGTATCTAGGATGGGCAATGCAGCACACCCAAAGCTCAATTGGTAACATCAAGGCAACTGAACAACCACACGTGCCAGGCTTCAATATAAACACCTGACTTATCTGCAAAAAGAGTACATGCTACTAAATGTAGCATGTACACCCTAGCGACAATGTCATACCTCTGTACCGCAATAAGATCCTCGTACCTATCCCAAATCTAAGACATACGAAGGTGAGTGCCCCTTGTAACACCCCAAATTTATTGAAATATTTATTTAATTTATTTAAATATGAATATTCATATTTTTGGTGAATTGTGGTGGTTGGTATGAAGTATTGAGAATTATGGAATTTGAGTTATTTATTTAAATAATAGTATATAATATGAATATATTGATATTATTATTAATTTAAATAAATATAAGTGAATTAAGGGCAAAATGGACATTTGAGGAGGAGTTAGTGAGGATGAATTGAAAAGCCCATTTTAAGGCGCAAAGTTAGGTTTAACAAAAAAGAATTTTGAGGGAATTAGAATTCATTCTTGTTAGACTGTAAAAAGGGAAGAAATAGAGGCCAGAGCTCTTAGGAAGAGGATTGAGGCAAAGCTTCGCGAGGTTTTCGAGAAACAAAGGAGAAAGGCTTAGAGTCGGTAATTAAGGTATGAGGAGTATTGCCTTCATTGTTTTCAATATGTGATTTAATGTGTTTAAAGCTGATTTAAGGGTTTAGGGATTTTTGAATATTGGATTGTTGTTGCCTTTATGGTGATGAGTTCAATGAGTTTGAGGGATTTGAACGGATGGTCTGATAGGTTTGAGGCTGATTTGGGAGTAATGGAAATTAGGCCTTCATGGCCAAATATGTTGTTGAGGTTTTAACCGTATAGGGTAAGTGATTGTGAGAACTTTAATGACTGTGGAGTATTTGTAAGAAATTATGGGAATTGGAGGCGTAAATATGATACAGGATTGACCTAATAAGTCGTAGATCTTGTGTCTTTATCGTTGTAATACCTTAGGAATGATTTAGGGATGTTTTTAGGGCATTGGGGAAGGAAATCGTAGAGGCTTTTTGGCTGGTTTTGGTGCTGGTGCATAACAGGGATTTGTTGTAATCGCGATTTCGCACAGCGAAGAATCCTTCACACGACGAACATTCGCCCTAGACTCGTACGGGGAACTTGCTAGCGAACGTAGCAGAGTTTCGCGAATTCTGTTCTGGTTCAGTGATGTCTTGATGTTTTGATGCTGTGATTTTCTTAATGAGTTACCATGAGTGTAACCGTGATTCCTATGTGATTAAATGAATGTATGATGAGTTACCATGGGTGTAACTATGATTCCTATGTGATTAAATGAATGTATGATGAATTACCATGAGTGTAACTGTGATTCCTATGTGATTAAATGAATGTATGATGAATTACTATGAGTATGGCTGTGATTCCTATGTGATTAATACATGACCGTATAATGAGTACCCATGAGTATAATTGTGATTCTTATGAGATTAAGACATGATTGTATGATGAATTTCCATGAGGAACTGTGATGATTTGTGACATTGATTCCATGAGGTTTTAATGATTCTATGATGATGTGATTCTTATGATTATTTTTATGAATGATGATGCACCTAATGAAATTATTATGAGGATGATATTGACGCATGCATCATGCATTCATATGCATTCCGGTCTTCAGTCTAGGACCTTGATTCTTGTGGCTTCAGTCCCATTGTGCGGATGTGAGCTATTTTGTTGTGCTCCGGTTCTCGTGTAGAATCGATCCTACTGTTGTGGATCTATGGAGGGTTGATGACCCAGTGTCCATCGAATTTTGTTGATTGGTACCACATGCATGAGTCTTGTTGCATTTGCATTTATGTATTTATGTGACAATTTGGTGTAACTTATAATGTTGTGGCCTTTGATGTTCCTTGACGATTATGATGATGTTGAATATGAAAATGATGCCATTTTATATATTGATTCTTATATTGATTATTATGAATCGTTTTACTCACCCTGCATGTTTGAATGTTGCCTCCACGTGGGTAACGTGCAGATGACCAGGTTTAGTCGTGGATGTCGTCGAGGACTTTTTGAAGTTTTTGGGTCGTTGGCCATTGTTGTTGACTTAGAGGGTCTTGCTCTAATAGTGTAACATTGGGTTGGGGTCTTTTGAGCTAAACCATATTTTATTGATTATTGTTATTTTGATTAAGTTACTGCGCAAGGAAAACTTTGGATATTTTTCTTTTGAGTAATTTTGGGAAAACCCGTTGTTTACAGAGCATTGACTATATTTGAATTATTGAGAAATATGCGCCCTTTTGAGATGATTTTATTGCGTTCAATAATTTATTCTGATAAATATGATTGATTTGCCATTATATTTGTGGGGGTAGAAAAGGGTGTTACACCCCTGTTGAAGTCGAACTCCTTCAACACGACCTCCTTAGAAACTCCCAAATCTTGTACAGTAGTCAAACATTCAAGCAATTGGCTAATAACAAGATCTGTGAAGAATATGTTGGCGATGGAGAGATGGAACAATGAGGAGACATCATCTAGAGTGATAGTCATCTCCGAAAATAGAAGATAAAATGAAGATGTCTCCTTGTACCATATCTCAACAAAAGCAGTAAGTAGTGGGGCGTTAAGTAGGGTGAGGGAGCAGCAGATAAACTAAATGAGCTCAAAATCACATACAATACACCTGACTTGCTCAATCATCAGAGTTTTCGGGAAGTTCTTCAGCTTCGACTCGTGCAATGTCACCTTCAGTTTGAGACGGTCCTGTAACAAACAAAATTTTAAAAAATTAGTATTAGCTTTCATGACACAATAATAAATGAATTAAAGTTAAACATAAAATATATATACCTCTCCCTACCATAGTCGGTATGCCACATGGTCAACATACTCGATAAGCACCGACCAATCAATGGGTCCTCCCAGGAATCCTCCACTAGTGTGCACATAAGACTCAGTCGAAGGAGTCGTAACCTCTGCGTTAGCAGTAATGGATGAGACCAGATCACCAACAACGACAACTGGCTGGACCACCTCATCTGGAACAGCGAAATATGACTGGACCACCTCATATGCAACATGGGTATCTGGCTGAACCTCCTCATCTGCCACCTCATCAGCAACCACCTCATCAACAACCACCTCACCACCAACCTCAATAATAATATATGTGTCGCACCTGTCTCGACCACTGTGTCATAAACATCCTGAGCATAAACAACCTCAACATCATCTCTAGGCTGCTCAACTAATCTAACCGCTGAACGCGGGGTCCCCCCGGTGTGCAGAACTGTCCCTACTCATCTAACCCTTTTAAGTGTGAACCGGTTGAAACCACTCGTTCAACCCGTATCTAGACTGCCGCTCTATCTGTCGCTCTGTCTGCAATAATGTCGTCTCTGTCCTTGTATTTCACTGCAAAAAATAAAATAAAATTAATAACTATAAAAAATTTTCTAATTTTTCTAAAAATTGTAAAATTTCCGGAGAAAAACAAAGTTTTTATAACTAACCGAAATTCTAAATTTTTAGAGATTTGCAGGTCATTTGTAAAATTTTCGGAATTAATATTTTCATAATTAGCAAAAATTTTAAAGTTTGCGATAAAAAACCATGCAAAATTTGATATTTACGGTAAAAAAAACATACTATTTTAAAATTTTCGATAGACTAATTGAAATTGACAATATCTCACTATAGAATTCTAAATATGCGCGTGTGGGTAGTGAATTTCAAAAAATAAGTGAAAAAAAATAGGATCAATATTGTCAATTAATAAGAAATGAAAGGTGCCAATTATAAGTACAGAAAGAGTCACGAGTTGACATCTCTCAATTTTGGGTTAAAAATATCCTTAGTACTCTTATATCCAATTGCTTATTAAAAAATAAAAAATAAGAAATGAAAGGTGCCAATTATAAGTATAGAATGAGTCACGAGTTGACATCTCTCAATTTTGGGTTAAATACCCTTAGTACTCTTATATCCAATTGCTTATTAAAAAATAAAAAATAAAAAATAAAATGTGCCAATTATAAGTAAAGAAAGAGTCGCGAGTTGACATCTCTCAATTTTGGGTTAAATACCCTTAGTACTCATATATCCAATTGCTTATTAAAATAATAAAAAAATAAAAACAAGTCCTCCACCTCTTCAAATTTTATCAACTGTACAAAAGAAAGAGAGAGAAGAACTTACCAAAAAGATAGAGATAAAATGAAATTAAGAAAGGAAAACGAAAATCCCATTTAGATAGCAGTTGCCAAATACGAAAACCATATCTGCCGTTGCTCATTCTTCTCATCCCGCTCTTGTGTTAATCCTCTCAAAAACAAATGCTTTTGAAACTTGACACCAGCGCACTTGTTGCTGCACCGCGTGAAAACCCTCTACCCACTTCCAATGAAACCACACAACAACCACTTCTTCATCCTCTCAATGCCACAGACAGAGAATCTCGATTCAAAAAATCGAATTTGCAACAAAATAATGATTCTGTTATTCCAAACAAAAGGGGTAACAACAACAATGGGTTTGTTTTGAAGCAAAACAAGGTGCACTCCAAGTGTTTGAAGAAATGGGTATCTTACAGTGGCCGCATTCCTACAATTCTACATGCTTTGGATACCATTCATGATTTGGATAAGGCTTTTAGACCCTGGAAAAAGAGACTCAGCAACAAGGAAATGAGTATCATATTGAAGGAACAAGTTTGCTGGGAGAGGGCTTTGAAGATTTTTGAGTGGTTTAAGAAAAAGGGTTGTTATGAGTTAAATGTGATTCATTATAATATAATGTTTTTGATACTTGGAAAAGGGAAGAAATGGAGCCTTGTGGTGGGTTTGTGGGATGAAATGAATCTAAATGGGGTTGCACCTGTGAATTCTACGTATGGAACATTGATTGATGTTTATAGTAAAGATGGGTTGAAAGAAGAAGCACTTGCTTGGCTTCAAATGATGCTAAGTCAAGGGATGGAACCGGATGAGGTTACAATGGGGGTTGTTGTTCAGTTGTACAAGAGAGCCGGAGAGTTTCGAAAAGCCGAAGAGTTTTTTAGGAAATGGTCAAGAGGGGAGCCTTTGAGAGTAGAGGTTGATCATAGTACAGTTGATTCTCTTCATATTGGCAATGAGGTATCACATGCCAATGTTTGTTTAAACTCACATACATACAATACCTTGATTGACACGTATGGGAAGGCTGGTCAAATTAGAGCCGTGTGTGAAATTTTTGCTAAGATGATCAAACAAGGTGTAGTGCTGACTACGGTGACGTTTAATACGATGATTCACTTGTATGGAAACCGTGGACACATACGAAAAGTAAGTTTATTGTTGCAAAGAATGGAAGAACTTCGATGTTCCCCTGACACTAGGACATATAATATCCTTATTTCTGTATGTGTTAAACATAATAATTTCACTTTGGCAGCAAAATACCTTGCAAAAATGAAAGAGGCCTTCCTTGAGCCAGATCTAGTGAGTTATCGCACCCTCTTGTGTGCGTACTCAACTAGGAAAATGGTCCAAGAGGCTGAAGAGCTCATACGGGAGATGGATGAAAGTGGTCTTAAGATTGACGAATTCACCCAATCTGGATTGACTAGGATGTATGTAGAATCGAATATGCTGGAGAAATCATGGTTATGGTTCATGCGGTTTCACCTAGCTGGGAATATCACTTCTAGATGTTATTCTGCCAACATTGATGCATATGGCGAGAAAGGGTACACGTTAGAAGCAGAGAAAGTCTTTATGTGCTGCAAAGACAGGAAGAAGCTTAGTGTCCTTGTACTTAATGTGATGATTAAAGCTTATGGGATAGGGAAATGCTATGATAAAGCATGCCAACTATTTGACTGTATGGAGAATTTTGGTGTTGTTGCAGATGAATGCAGCTACAGTTCTCTCATACATATTTTGTCCTGTGCTGGCAAGCCACACATTGCAAAACCTTATCTGAACAAAATGCAGGAGGCAGGATTGATGAGTGATTGTGTCCCTTATTGTGCTGTGATATCAAGCTTTGCAAAGTTAGGCCAATTAGATACTGCGGAAGCATTATACAATGAGATGATTAAGTATGCTGTGCAACCTGATGTTATTATTTATGGTGTATTAATCAATGCTTTTGCTGATGCTGGAAATGTTAAAAAGGCTACTATTTATGTAGATCAAATGAGGAAGGCAGGTTTCTCAGGGAATCCAACCATACATAACTCGTTGATAAAGTTGTGTACTAAAGTAGGTTACTTGGAGGAAGCACAAGAAGCATACAAGTTGCTTCAATCATCGGATCAAGGTCCTTCAGTATTTTCTTCTAATTGTATGATTGATCTTTATACTGAGCGACTTATGGTTGAACAAGCAACAGAAATATTTGAGAGCTTGAAGAAGGACAACATTGTGAACGAGTTTTCATATGCAATGATGCTATGTATGTATAAGAAAATTGGAAGAATGGGTGAAGCCATTCAAATTGCAAAACAGATGAGAAAACTAGGACTCATGACCGATTTACTGAGTTATAATCATGTGCTTGGCTTGTATTCAATGGATAGGAAGCTAAAGGAAGCTAAAGAGACTTTCAAAGAAATGATAGAATCTGGAATTCAGCCAGATGATTTTACATTCAGAGCTCTTGGAAATCTTTTGCTGAATTATGGTGCTTCAAAGCAGGATATTGGAAGGCTAGAAGTAATGGTGAAGCGGGATGCTCCTCGTGGCTTGCATGCATGGATGGTCGCACTTTCAAGAGATTATTCCAGAGATGAATAGAAGTGGTTACTCATGGATGGAGCTTTTTTAGCCTGGCTTCCCTCTGGAGCTGGTTGTTTGCTCCTTTATTGGGCTACATGGTTGAAGATATAATTGGAGCATTTCAGTCACAGAGTCTTGAAATAGAATCACCAATGGTAATTTCAATACTACTACTACATTATTTTTTATAGAATTATGCATCTTTTTTCTTTAATACTCTTAACTATATTTATTATCTCAATTCACATATTTTCTCTTTGCAATAAATAGTTAGATAATTTTGACAAAACAATAGTTAATACTAATTTGAATTTTGAAAATGACAAATTAAAAGGAGTTAAGAATTAGAAATACTTTAAATGGAACAGAAGGAGTAACATGTTAGAGCATCTCAAACATTATAATATGATATTAATAGAATATTGTTTCACACCTATTGAACATTGCTCTTCATTTCATAACATTTTTCTGTCCAGAATAATCCAACATTCAAAAGAGATGACTTTACACTAATTATGACTACACGTGTCTGTTTTTCAGGATTCTGGGATGGGAACATGTTTTGACTCTTTACTGGGTATTCCTATAGAACATGTTTTGGAACTATAGTAACTTCATTTTTCCCTTTTCTTCATTTTGATGACAGAAGTGGTAAGAGTAAAGATAATGAGAACAAAAATAGTAAAATAAAAACAAGTTAATTGCATCTTAGTTTTTTTCCCAAAGACATATGCCCAACTAAACTCATCTCGTAGGTTATTGGAGATCAGTGTTAACTAAATAGAGCATGTGTAGCAGGATTGACCTTGAATGAGATTGATGAATTTGATGTATAGTAATTTGATTTTTTATTATATGTTTTTATGCCCTATTCAGTTTATTATGACAGTTAGGTCTATAATTTTTATGTTCAGTCAATTATATAGTAATCCATTTATATATAAACTCTCATCTCAAGTAATGAATTAAGGATTTTTCGTTTTGCTCAAAATTATGTATGTTTAATGCTTCAGAGCTCGCTCTCACACAGTTAGTTTAATTTTTTTAAGCATTATTGGGAAGTATCTGCTATATCTCTCTCTGTCAAGAAAGGGAACAAGGTTGAAATATTTTGGATGAACCTAAGGATCTTTTAAACATGCAAACATGCAGAATCTCCATTCTCACAAGTCACAACACTGGCAAGTCCATGAATAAAAATAGTAAGGAACATCTACTTGAGATAAGTACACCGTATGTAACTTCACTAGTAGAAGAACCAGTCTAAGTGATTTGTGATTGACACCCACCTATGTCTTTTATCTCTGACGTAAGTATAATCGTCTCACCAAAGGCACAAAGTTACTAGAAAGGAAAGACAACTAATCCTATCTCGATTATTAAGGGAGAGGATTCACTACCTTTGAACATGGGTGCCTTTGATAAGTTTGTGTCTATATTTCTCTAAACCAATTTTCTCTCTTTTTAATATTATTTTTTAATATTATCTTAATAACATGTGTATCATTAAATTTACACTAAATTTACACCAAAGACACAAAGTTACCGGAAAGAAAAGGCAGCTAATCCTATCCCAATTACCTTGTCTTATTTTCTCAGAATGACCATCTTGTTATATTTGTCATTAACTTACCATTAACTCCTTTGTACGAGTGTTTTAAAGTTTATCAATGGAACTTTTTCACGAGTTATCGTTGGGTTAGAGGTTGAGCTGCTCTCTTTACCCGGGGTCATGTCGGCCTTGTGGACGGATGAACTCACCTCTCTTTTCACAATCGCAAGCTTCTTTGATCTTACTCAATATCGGCATGAACTCGCCCATTCCCTTTTGAGTACTCTCTAGGGTTCTAGTGAGCTCTACGTTTGGAGGGTCGAGGTTGACTGATGCTAAGTGGGCTTATGATATTACAGATATATCGACACCCAATTCTGCAAGCAATACCTGTAGGGGAAATATGCTTAAGTGAAAACATGGCAGTGCATAGTCCTCCATGAACGAGGCTTGTAAGCGAAGTGCTTAAGTGAGAAACCTTAAGAACGAGACTTTAGGCGAAGTGCTTAAGTGAGAAATCCTGGCAGTAAGCGGTCCCCAAGCAAAAGGTTTGTAAGGGCGAAGTCCTTGAGTGAGAAACCTTGGTAGTACATAATACCCAAGCACGTGGTTAAGGTTTGTAAGGGCGAAGTCCTTAAGTCAGAAATCTTGGTAGTACATAATACCCAGCACGAGATCTGTAGGGGCGAATTAGCTTATACTATATCATATCTCATCTTTTTGACAATAATAGGTCTTTGTTAAATAGTATTTCCTTCGTCTCAAAATAAAAGTCTTTTATAGTTGTTGCACATGGATTAAGAAAAGTAATGATTGATTAATTAAATATAATAATTTTACAAAACTGTCCTTAATTACTATTGGTCGTCATAAAGGTATAGTGTGATGTAATATCTTGAAAATTGTGTAGAAAATATTTATTAGGGGTAAAGTTGGTAAAAATTAATTATTGTTGCATTGAAAATGTAAAAAGACTCTTATTTTAGAACAATTTTTTTGGCTAAAAAACTTTTATTTTGAGACAGAGGGAGTACATATTAACTAGTGTGAAAATTAACATGCCTTGGAAACCATCACATTAGTCTAGGGCTTTTGTCTCTATGTCATCCTATAAATATAGCCCTCGATGTATATCTAATCATGCCGACCACTTCATAAGATAATGTTTTTTCCTTTTCAATGGTTTGACTCTCCCTTTCTTCCTATCAATGTTTTAGTTTATACATCTTGCTTTGCACAAATTTTATTTTTTATTTCGGCTGCCGCTCCACTGACTTAAATTTCATTCCTTCACGATGTTTCAACTCATGTACGTTTCTCTTACGCTTTGGTGTCATTTCTTTTCAATTAGATTTTTTTACTATTCTGCCCTCTTATTGAAATTTATATACCAAAGTACCCCATTCTGAATTTTTTTTACCCTAATGCCCTGATGTTAGTATGTACTCGTCCACAAGGGTGGCAAGCAGCTGATGAAAGTTCGTGCATGAAGGTGCTCGTCCACCGGGTTAGCGAGCACCTGAGTATTTTAATATTTTTTCATTTTTTTCTTCAGATTATTTAATTATATAAAATTTTTATTTATTAATTTTAACTATTGAAAATATATTTTATTAATTTAATAATTATATACTAATTAAAAATGATTTTTTATTTAATATTAAAATTAAATGTAATAAAAAATATATTAAGAAATGAAATTTTTTCAAATAAAATTAAATGCAATAAATATTTTTGTATTGATTATTGATAAATAAAATACATTTCATCAAAAATGCCCGCCAATTCCACACCTATTGCCCTTTTTTGTCGATATCCCCTGCCCAAACGTTCATTTGCATTTCTTGTAAGTGATGAAGATGAATCGAAAGACATATTTTGATTGTGATGTGTTGTAGGGGGGGTCCGTCTGCCTTGAAGGAGGGTCCGCTTGTGTCGTAGGTTGCTCCGCAAGAAGGTCATCAATGTTAAAATCTGACATTTGCATCAGTTAATCCCCTGTCAACAAAAAATGTTGGAATGAATACGATGGTTGTGGTGGTTGGGTGTACGTATCAGGTTGGGTTTATTGAAGGGTTGATAGTAGACATCATCAACCATGAAGGTGGAGGTGGGTTGAGAGAATGAAGTGTTAAAAGTTTGATGTTGGGATTGAGGGTTTGATTGATAAAAGTTTGACGGAGGAACTGGAGTGAACTGTAAGAGTGGTTGAAGGGTAGATTGATGTTGATATTGATATTGTTGGTTGTAGTTGTAGTGGTAGTTTTGTTGAGGGAGTGGAGTGTAGGGAGTTTGGTGTTGGGATGAGGTTGCATAAAATGTGTGTTGTTTGGTGGTCTGTGTGCGATGGTATGTGTAACGCCCCATATTGCTTTTTAGGATTACCGACTGACCCCACAAACCAACACGGGTCTTTTCAGCATGCTTTGTCCTCAATCACACGCTTTCCAGGAAACTTCCCAGAAGGTCACCCATCCCATAATTGCTCCAAGTCAAGCACGCTTAACTATGGGGTTCTTATGAATGGGCTACCGAAAAGAAGATGCATCTTGTTGGTATAGGTAGTACCAATTAATCCTTATAAGCCTTCATTCAACCATGCAGTCCCATACCTGCATAGCCTCAGGATCCCTCTCATTCGGATGTGAATTCAGTTTTCCCCTAGAAGCTGCTAGGAGTGTCTCATTGTCATGCCTCATGACACCGACAACCACTCCCTCGCCCACGGGTGTTACATGTAACCACCGTCCTCTTTCACCTCAGGTGTTACATGCCCACCAGCTTCCGCTTGGTTCGTCCCCGAACCACATCGTACTGGGAGATGTATGACTCTGATACCATTTGTAACGCCCCATATTGCTTTCAGGATTACCGACTGACCCCACAAACCAACACGGGTCTTTTCAGCATGCTTTGTCCTCAATCACACGCTTTCCGAGAAACTTCCCAGAAGGTCACCCATCCCCGAATTGCTTCAAGTCAAGCACGCTTAACTATGGAGTTCTTATGAACAGGCTACCGAAAAGAAGATGCATCTTGTTGGTATAGGTAGTACCAATTAATCCTTATAAGCCTTCATTCAACCATGCAGTCCCATACCTGCATAGCCTCAGGATCCCTCTCATTCGGATGTGAATTCGGTTTTCCCCTAGAAGCTGCTAGGAGTGTCTCATTGTCATGCCTCATGACACCGACAACCACTCCCTCGCCCACGGGTGTTACATGTAACCACCGTCCTCTTTCACCTCAGGTGTTACAGTATGTATGCTGAGCAGATGAAGATGTGTGTCCCCCAAATTGGGATGTGTACATTGGTGGCACATCCTGATGCACTTGTGCGACAGTTGGTTGTGTTGGAGGCGAATCTTGTATACGAGGGTTGATCAAAAATTGGTCTGGAGAAATATGCACATAAGGAATTGCACGAAACCAATTTAAATACTCTTAGCTTGACTTGCGTTCACCA